GTGTGTGTGTGTGTGTGTGTGTGTGTGTGTGTGTGTGTGTGTGTGTGAGTGTGAGTGTGAGTGTGAGAGAGAGAGAGAGAGAGAGAGAGAGAGTGTGAGAGAGAGAGAGAGAGAGAGAGTGTGTGTGTGTGTGAGTGTGATCGGGACTCTAATTAGGTCATTGCTACTTTGCATAGGTTTGCAGTTAAGAGAGTGTGCTGTGAACGATGTGTTGATGATGTGCTGAGTGGTTGATTGATTGGCAGTCCTGCTTGCTGGCAGTGGGTCGCTGCGTTGGCAGCCCTGAGGATGTCAACACGATCAAACAGCAACAGGGAGAGGGACTGGACCCGTCGCCTCACGTCTTTTGACCCAGACACACCAGGCTTCAGCAGGAAAAAAACCACAGCTCCTAGTCCAGCCTTCTGTTACAGTATTGTATAATGTCCACTCTTTGCTGATCAGCAGATTCAAACCAATCTTCACATTTGTTGTTCCACAATGTGGGCGTTGTGAAGCCTTTTGAGACTGTAACTGTGATTAAGAGCTGTACAAATAAACCACCAGGCCAGCTCAGAAAATGGCTTCAGTTAACTCACAGTAGGAGCAGTCACAGGCACGCATTTTAATCTTAGGGAAAACTACTGAATTCAATTGTCCGGCAAATTTGATGAAGCAGAAGTTGTTAACAGCCTCTGCCTTTCTTCAGGGCACACAGAGAGCCCTGCTCACCTCCATAACACAGACGATTTACCTGTCATGGTCACAAACCTGGCAGATGCTGCAACTGAAGAGGAAAGTAATTCCCATCCTAATGGGTAAGAACACACGCACACGCACACACACACACACGCACACACACACACACACGGTGTTCTCTGCTCTGAATGATAACATATTCAGAGTTCTCACGTTGTGGTAAAATCACCCTTTCCCCTTCAAGAGCAGCTTTTAAAAAACTTAAATCATCACAAGTCGCAGTGTGTGTGTGTGTGCGTGCGTGTGAGTGTGTGATTAGGGCCCACTGCTTCAGCTGTGCCAAGAGTCAGCTGTGAAGGGACTGCTTCGGCATCTGAGATGCAGTTTTACGGCAGCAGTTACAACAGCGGTGACAGGTCGGCCTGTAAAATCCTGTGTTAACCTATAAATATTAATGAATCTAAAGCAGTCTCCACTGTTGTCGGCTGGAACTGGGAGGGACTCAAACTATGTTCATCTCAAAGAGGAATGGACTCTGAACTGCATAGAATCAATAGAGAGGTGGAGGACCTGTCCAGCCAGGATGAGACGAGGGACAGGGCCTGTCAAATGGGATGGACTGTGAGGAAAACAAACAGAGTGGCAAGGTTTAGAGTACTATTTAAAACTGCACTAGTCAATATTTTGACAATAACAATGGATCAAATGACAATGTGTAATTTTAAAAGGCGTTGCTTGTTGTGACAAACCCACAAAAGCCTCTTTCAGCGAATACTTTTGCTTTTCTGGCCCACAGCATCTCTTCTCTTCGGCCTCCTGTTCAGCCAAAACAGGTTGCTGCTTTCAGCCAAAACGCTCTGATAAACCAACTGTACCCCATCTGCCCAAGTCCAAACACAAACAATAGCGATTGATGTTAGTTGGTGAGTTGGTGATTTTTCTTTCTAAAGAGTCGGAGACCAAACCAGAACTAGGAGCGCGAATTGGACTTAGATCTGTGAGTTGTGCCAGAAACACGACTCCATGTGAATACTTCTCTGGATTTGAGCAACTGTTCTTTAGCAGTTTGTTAATATTGCTAGCCATCATTTTTATTTGATGTTTTGTTGTGTTTTGAGCTCACTCTGCTGCCCCCAAGTGGCTTCATGGGAGTTAAATACAAAATTCTGAGCATTAATATGGCAGCAAAAATAATAATAAGTATTTCCTGTGTAAAGATATAGTGGAGTAATGTCTTCCTGAGCAGAGAATGAAGTCATGCGTGGTTAACACAAGCCTTAGAGATTTTAACATTTTAATACGTCAGTAAATTCCCCTCTCGTGAATTTTGAAGCATTTAAGAGGTTTTTTTTAAGACAGTTGCTAACAAGTGGTTAAATGAGACAAGTGTCATCACGCTGACTTGTTGGGTACTCGTGCTCCTGCGATTGTGGTGTAGTTAGTTTAAAGCGTCAAGTTTCTGCAATAATCCAAAATCCAACTGACAAATCCCATTGGCTTCATGTCGAGGATAACTTCCGGGGTTGGCCGACATCAATACACTTCTTCATATATCTGGAGGTTTCACTTGTACAGCTACTTTTTGAAAAATTCTGAAAAAAAGTGAATTGCTTCATTTGAACAATGACGCAATAACAGCTTGAAACACTCAAACTTTGTAGCTTTTTTTAAACAGAAAAAATACTTTGATACTGAAACAAAGTATAGGGTTCAGTACAAAAACACAGTATTAGGCCTCAGAGTACTTTATCAGTCTGAAACTAACCAGCACCGTTACCCAACTATTGATGCTGTCGCCAGGGTTACCATCAACATCAGACACTGTCAAAAAGACATTCAACGCAAATGAATACAATTTCTCCTCATGATCTCAATCCAAAGTCAATTTAACTTTAAACTCTTTCTTTGGTCTTTTCTATTTGCACTATATGTAATACTGGACTTAATCGCTCAACTATAAATATTTTCAATTGGTTTCCACGTAACCAATCTTTTAATCAAAGAACTTCAGGTCAACCATATGTTTTAAAGAGTAAAGGGCACAAAGAGCTCAATCCAGGAAATATGAATAAATCACAAAGACTAACAACAGTAGATGTGAGAGCGAGGTCCGTTCATTCAACATCCCACTCAGCTCATCTTATTTTTAACCAAAATTGAAGTCAGTAATAAATCATCCTTCAAGCTTTAAGTACATTTCTTCCACATTCAGTATCATTGTGATTGTTCTGCTACGTCTTGAAGAAGATGAATAGTGGTATTTGTTTTGTTGATATACATGTACAATTGTGTGAAAAAGTGTTTGCCCCCTTCCTGATTTCTTATTTTTTTGCATGTTTGTCACACTTAAATGTTTCAGATCATCAAACAAAGTTAAATATTAGACAAAGATAACACAAGTAAACACAAAATGCAGTTTTTAAATGAAGGTTTTTATTATTAAGGGGGAAAAAAATCCAAACCTACATGGCCCTGTGTGAAAAAGTGATTGCCCCCCCCCTGTTAAAACATAAATTAACTGTGGTTTATCACATCTTTGGAAAGCTGAGTTCAATTTCTCTAGCCACACCCAGGCCTGATTACTGCCACACCTGTTCTCAATCAAGAAATCACTTAAATAGGACCTGCCTGACAAAGTGAGGTAGACCAAAAGATCCTCAAAAGCTAGACATCATGCTGCGATCCAAAGAAATTCAGGAACAAATGAGAAACAAAGTAATTGAGATCTATCAGTCTGGAAAAGGTTACAAAGCCATTTCTAAAGCTTTGGGACTCCAGCGAACCACAGTGAGAGCCATTATCCACAAATGGCAAAAACATGGAACAGTGGTGAACCTTCCCAGGAGTGGCCGGCCGACCAAAATTACCCCAAGAGCGCAGCGACGACTCATCCAAGAGGTCACAAAAGACCCCAGAACAACATCCAAAGAACTGCAGGCCTCACTTGCCTCAATTAAGGTCAGTGTTCATGACTCCACCATAAGAAAGAGGCTGGGCAAAAATGGCCTGCATGGCAGAGTTCCAAGACGAAAACCACTGCTGAGCAAAAAGAACATAAAGGCTCGTCTCAGTTTTGCCAGAAAACATCTTGATGATCCCCAAGACTTTTGGGAAAATACTCTGTGGACTGACGAGACAAAAGTTGAACTTTTGGAAGGTGTATGTCCCATTACATCTGGCGTACAACTAACACGGTATTTCAGAAAAGGAACATCATACCAACAGTAAAATATGGTGGTGGTAGTGTGATGGTCTGGGGCTGTTTTGCTGCTTCAGGACCTGGAAGACTTGCTATGGTAAATGGAACCATGAATTCTGCTGTCTACCAAAAAATCCTGAAGGAGAATGTCCGGCCATCTGTTCGTGACCTCAAGCTGAAGCGCACTTGGGTTCTGCAGCAGGACAATGATCCAAAACACACCAGCAAGTCCACCTCTGAATGGCTTAAGAAAAACAAAATGAAGACTTTGGAGTGGCCTAGTCAAAGTCCCGACCTGAATCCGATTGAGATGCTGTGGCATGACCTTAAAAAGGCGGTTCATGCTCGAAAACCCTCCAATGTGGCTGAATTACAACAATTCTGCAAAGATGAGTGGGCCAAAATTCCTCTACAGCGCTGTAAAAGACTCATTGCCAGTTATCGCAAATGCTTGATTGCAGTTGTTGCTGCTAAGGGTGGCCCAACCAGTTATTAGGTTTAGGGGGCAATCACTTTTTCACACAGGGCCATGTAGGTTTGGATTTTTTTCCCCCTTAATAATAAAAACCTTCATTTAAAAACTGCATTTTGTGTTTACTTGTGTTATCTTTGTCTAATATTTAAATTTGTTTGATGATCTGAAACATTTAAGTGTGACAAACATGCAAAAAAATAAGAAATCAGGAAGGGGGCAAACACTTTTTCACACAACTGTATTTCTTATTAAAAGATGTTTTCCCTTCTCTTTTCCAGAGCAGTGCTGGAATAATGATGATGATGATGATGATGATGACCCCACTATGACTGTGGTTCAGAGAAGGGTGGCATGCAACAAAGGTCCACAAAATTGTAATTCTATATTTCTCTTCTTGCCAGCTAATGTTGCATATAGACTTAAACCAACAATGATTTAGTCTGTCTCATTTACGTCCCTCTTCCCTATATCCTGTCTGTGGCCCTCAGCCTCAAGCCCATTGGTTCCTCCTTTCAAAATGGCACAGAAAATTTTAAAAAAAAATCATTTTTAACGGCTAAATAATTTCCCACAACAGCTGGGCGCTGTAGGTTTTAGCAATTATTACTCGAACACGTGTAAATTATGCAAAAGTGAATTTCCTGTGGACTATTGTCAGCCACAGGTTCATACTCTTTCTGTGCGCTTGTGACTATTTGAGGCACCAGAACAGTGGATGTGGGATCGACTCAAAAATAAACTACAGTGCCCATCTTCATTGTGATGAAGCAACATGTCCGCCAAGGTAACAGTGCGACACATTGATGTGTTTTATGCAGACAACAATGGAGCTGCATGGTGCAGAGGAATATCAGGCTTAAGATGCACACACACACACACACACACACACACACACACACACACACACACAC